CAATCAAAGAAGATACAAGGGAAGGCTGGGAAGGACGTGAAACATGCCAATAACAGAACCCATGGAAAAAAAGAGAAATGGAGGTAAAAGACGTATGGGAAAAAGCGGCATAGAAATTGGGATGTGGAAAACGGTCAAGGCTGTAATAAAACGCTAGATATTTTAAAATATAAGTTTCCGGATAATTTTCCTTAAAATCAAGGCAATTTTTATTAAAGATTTTCCCAAAAATGGCTTCCCATTTTTTCTTTTTTTTCAAATATGGCAATTTACGTTTAAAAATGACGTTGTTCGCATTTCTGTTTGTCTGTATTTTCGAATTTGATGAATTCGAACATTTTTTGGCCTTTCATTCAACTATATAATTGGAAATGGAGATTTTTCTTAGTGAAATCTGGTCTTTAAAATTAGAACTTCAAATAATAGCAATGGATATCTTGAAATGTGTTAAAATTGTAAATGTAAAACTTCTGTAAGCCTGGTAATAAACGGGTAACATAAATAGTATGTAAACTTAAAACCCCGAGTTTGAGTCCCAAATACGTAGAAAAAATGACTGATCGGAAACTGTTTTGTAGGTTCAAGTAATATTATAATACTTCGTAACCGTTACAAATAATACCGGAAAGTATGTGCTATTGTAGAACCATTATTTAAATACTCATTAATACAGCAGGTCAGTAATGACTTCCGATATTTAGAAGCTAATAGAAAAAGAAATATAGAAAGCAATATGCTCAATTAATACACTGCGATATTCTATACGTAAGCATTCTGGTGCCGATCGGGCAAAACAGAAATAGCATGGAAAATGTTTTCGATCGCCAACATTTCTCTTGTCACTGGTGTTGGAAATAACAACCTACAATTGAGAACAATCCAGGTCAGAATACAAATCAACAATACCACGAGCGCACCGCTGCTATCTTTTCCGTGGCATTCATGCGATCCGATTGCAGGTCTCGCCCCGCACCTGCCCAGCTCAGGGCGAGTTTGGCGCCTCTTTTTCGTCTCGCCTAATCCCAGCCTTGTAACAAACGAGCGCTGCCCCAGTTG